CTGGTGGGAAAACTGGAAACTAGTATGGCAGAAACTAGGTATAGACCAAGATAAGGTCAAAATGGGTACATAAGACATAAAGAGTGAGACCATAAGCAAATTAGGAGAGCAAGGAATAGTTTACCTGACAGATATATGGAGAAGTGAAGAATTTATGACCAAACAAGAGACAGAGAATGTTTTGAAATGCAAAATGGATAATTTTGACTATATTAAATTAAAACAGCTTTGCACAAACAAAACCAATGCAGCCAAGATTAGAAGGAAAGCAGAAAACTGGGAAAGAATTTTTACAGCCAGCATCTCTGATAAAGGCCTCATTTCTCAAATAGATAGAGAACTGAGTTAAATTTATAAGAACACGAGTCATTTCCAAAGTGATAAATGGTCAAAGGATATGAATAAGCAATTTTCAGATGAAGAAATTAAAGCTATCTATAGGCTTGTGAAAAAATGCTCTAAATCACTATTAATTATAGAAATGCAAATTAAAACAGCTCTGAGGTACCATCTCACACCTATCCAATTGGCTGATATGACAAAAAAAAAGGAAGATGATAAATTGGAGAAGATGCTGGAAAATTGGAACACTAATGCATTGTTGGTGGAGTTGTGAACTGATCTGACCATTCTGGAGAGCAATTTGGAACTTTATCCAAAGGGCTATAAAACTGTGTGTACCCTTTGACCCAGCAAGACCACTACTAGGTCTGTAGCCCAAAGAGATCATTAAAAAGGGGAAAGGACCCACATGTACAAAAATATTTATAGCGGCTCCTTTTGTGGTGGAAAAGAATTGGAAATTGAGGGGATGTCCGTCAACTGGAGAATGACTGAACAAGTTGTGGTATATGAATGTAATTAAATACTACTGTGCTATAAGAAATGATGAGCAGGTAGATTTCAGAAAAACTTGGAAAGACTTGCATGAAGTGATGCTGAGTGAAGTGAGCAGAACCAGGAGAACATTGTACACAGTAACAGCAACGTTGCATGATGACTGACTTTGAAAAACTTAGTTCTCAGCAATGCAAGGATCTAAGACAACTCTAAAAGTCTCATGATGGAAAATGCTACGCACATCCAGAGAAAGAGCTATGGAATCTGTATACAGATTGAAACAAGCTGTTTTCTTCCTTTTTTCCCCTTTCTTGTTTTTTTTCCCCTTTCATTCTGATTCTTCTTTCACAACATGACTAATGTGGAAATATATTTAACATGATTGCACACGTATAACCTATATCAGGTTGCATGCTGTCTTGGCGAGGGAGGAGGGGACTCAAATTCTTATAAAAGTGAATGTTGGAAACTATCTTTACATGTAATTGGAAAAAATAAAATACTTGTAAGTGGAAAAGAAAAAGAAAAGCTGCAGTCCTAGCCACAGTGGAGAAGCCCCGGGCAGCATCCAGGCTGCTTGGGTCTTAAACACAGCATAGCACAAAGCAAAACAAGCCTGAGAAAAGGAGGGCACGGCCTTGGCCGCCACTCTCTGGATGAGACAGGGCCTGCCCACTCCATTCAAGAGCACCAGAGTAAAGCAGGACCTGGATTCCTGAACCCAGATGTTGCGGCTGCTGAGCTGAACAAACTAAGGAAAATGTTGACCACTCTGAGGAAGTGTCTTGGACTGAGACACGCCTGGGAGATAAGCCCCCCAGAAAAAAGCAACCCCAAAATAACTCCGAGGAAAACCCCCCCAAAAAGACATCCTGGCCATGAGGCCTACAAGAGTGCCCTGAAGAAATTACTCCACTGCCGCCACTTACCCCCACCTACAAACATCCCCACATCTCCTGTTCTTCAGAAAATAATCCCACTTGGTCCTTCTGTCCCCTCTTAACTGTTGTCCCATTTCTTTCCTTTTGTGGCTGAACTCTTTGAGAAGCCATTTCCTTTTCCAGTGTGTCCCCATTTTACAGATGAGGAACTGAGGCAAAAGGGGTTAAGTGTCTTGCCCAGGGTCATAGAGCTAGTAAGTGTCTGAGGATGAATTTGAACTGAAATTCCTGATTCCAGACCTGGCACTCTACCCATTGCACCACATAGCTGCCCTACAGGAGGTATAAAAATATTTGGGAATTTAACTACTAGGAGACAGCCAGAAATGCTATGAATCCAACTACAAAATGCACAGGTTGGTCGAACCAATATAATAAAAACTACAATACCACCTAAATATATTTATTCAAAGTTATGCCTAACTGTCAAAGAATTATTTTATAGGGCAAAAAAATAATAAAAAATGAAATTTAATAGAGGAACAAAAGATCAAGAATATCAAGGGAAATAATTTAAAAATGGGAAGGAAGAGATAGGCACCTTATCTCAAATTCTACTACAGTGATCATTCAGTTTATGGGGTAGCAGTTAAAAAATAGAGAAGTTGATCATTGGAATGGATAGGGACACAACATACAATAGCAAACACAGTAATGTAATGTTTGATCAACCCAAAGATCCTAAAACATTCTGGGAAAAGGTTTCACTATTTGACAATAAGTGCTGGGAAAACTGGAAAGCAGTTTGGTACAAACTAGGTATAAATCTACTTTTCACTCCATATGCCAAGATAAACTCCATATGGATATGAGACTGAGACCACAAAAAAGTGATATCATAAGTACTTTAGAGGAGCAAGAAAGAAATTGTCTGTAAGATCTATGGCTAGAGGAAGAGCTCGTGATCAACCTAGGGACAAAGGATTGCAGAAGATAAAACATTTTTTATTTTATAAAATTAAATCTCTATAGCAAGTTTCTTTGATAAGTCTCATATCCAAGATAAATATGGAAGTGATTCAAATTTATAAGACTAAGAACCATTCCCTAATAGATATTTGGTTAGAGGGTATGAACAAACATACAATAGCCATATAAAAATGCTCCATATCATTAACAGTTAGAGAAAGGCGAACTAAAGTAATTTGGAGATTCTATCTTACACCTGTCAGACTGGCAAAAACTGACAAAAGAGGAAAATGACAAATAGAGAGATTTTGGGAAAACAGACCAATCAGTGCTCCCTTGGAAGAACTATGAATAGTTCCAGCCATTCTGAAAACAATTTGAAACTGTGGTCAGAAAGTTACCAACCTGTGCACCCCCTTTGGCCCAGCTATACCACTCTTGGCTTATGCCCTGAAGAGGGCAAAGACAGAAGAAAAAGAACCATAAGTAGTAAGTATATTTATAGTACCTCTTTCTGTAGTAGCCTCAAACTGGAAACTAAGAGAGTATCCACTTATTGGGGAAAGGCTAAACAAACTCTGGTATAGGAATGTCATGGAATATTATTGTGCCATAAGAAATGGTGAAATGGATAATTTCAAAGAAAAGTAGGAAGACCTCTCTGAACAGATGCAGAGTAAAGTGAGGAGAACCAGGAGCACAGTTCACAAAATGACAACAACATTATAATGAAAAATAACTTTGAAAGACTTTAGAGTGTGGATCAATGAACATAATGATAAACTATGAATCCACAGGATTGAAGATGAATCATGCTCCCTACCTACATTTTTGGACATGGCCAAAGCGGAATTTGTTTTGTTGGACTATTACCATGTTTGTTATAAGGGATTCCCTTCCCTTCCCTTCCCTTCCCTTCCTTCCCTTCCTTCCTTCCCTTCCTTTCCCTTCCTCCTTCCCTTCCCTTCCCTTCCTTCCCTTCCTTCCCTTCCCTTCCCTTCCCTTCCCTTCCCTTCCCTTCCCTTCCCTTTTTTCTTTTTTTGGTATTCTGTATTATTGTTCAACTTGGAGGGGGTGGAAGGGAGAAATAATAATTTTCAAAACAAATAGTTTTAAAACAAAGCTGATTTAATCCCCTTTAAAGTTGTTATGATGGCTATGCATCTTCAGTCCTCTGGATTCATAGTTTATGCAAGATCTCATCGTGCAATTCATAAATCAATTCAGCTCAATGCCTTTTCTTGATCTTTCAAACATCTTGGCAGTGATCCTGAAAGCAATTTAATGCAATTTCTGAGGGTATCTAAATTAAAATAAGAGAGCATGGTAAGCACTGAGAGAATCTGATTTAATAAGAGGTGATGAATTGTGAATGGTGAAACAATGTGTTATGTGGGGTCACTGATACAGGGCTGCATCCTCTCTCAGACTGCTTGAAAGATGGAAGAAAACAATGAAAGTGAAGGAGAGAAGCCTCATTCCAGAGATCATCATCTTTTTGCTTATTATTGTTTTATAGATGTTGATATCAAAATTAAACGTTTTCCTTAAACTTTTCTTTAAGCATTGATTTAAGGCTTACTATATGCCAGACACTGTGCTAAGCACTGGGAATGCAAATATGAAAAAATCCAACTGTCCTTGCCCTCAAGGAACTTAAACTTTAATGAGAAAAAGGACATATAAGGAAGTAGTGGCCAAGGAGGGGTTTCTTTCTTCCCCAGTTGAAAAAAATTATTTCTGTTTGCTTTGTAAATATTTCCCAATTGCATTTTAAAAAATTCAACATTTTTTTTTTGGCTAGGCAATGGGGTTAAGTGACTTGCCCAGGGTCACACAGTTAATAAGTGTTATGTGTGTGAAGCTGGATTGAACTCAGGTCCTCCTGAATCCACTGTGCCACCTAGCTGCCCTAAACATTCCTTTTTTAAAATTTTAAGTTCTAAATTCTCACCCTCCTTTCCACTCCTCCCTAATTCACTGAGAAGGCAAGCAACATGATGTTAATAATACACGTAAAGTCATTCGAAACATATTTCCGTATTAGCCATATTGCAAAAGAATACACACCAAACCCAGAAAAATTAACGGAAAAAAGTGTTCTTCAGCTGCACTCAGAGTTCGTCAGTTCTCTGGAGGTGAATAGCATTTTCCATCAGGGGTCCTTTGGAGTTGTCTTGGATTGTTGCCTTGATCAGAGTAGCTAAGTCTTTCAGAGTTACTTTTTGTTACAATGTTACTGTTACTATATACAATGTTCTTCTGGTTCTGCTCGCTTCACTTTGCATCAACTTGCATCTGAAACAATTCTGCTTGTCATTTCTTATAGCACAACAGTATTTCATCACAATTATATACCACAGGAGGCTCCAGGGCCTCCCCAGCCTGACAGGCGGGGCCAGGGGAGCTGATGCCAGCCCCGGGGACTTCGAGGCCCTTTTCCTTCTTGTCAGAAAGATGGAAGGTCGGGGAGGTGGTGGAGCTGAAGCTGTGGGGGTTATCAAAGAAGAATCTCTAAGTCATCATGAGTCCAATTAGGAGACTATTATTGAGAAACAACAGGAAAATAAGGCTTCTTCCTCTTCTTACTGTTCTTAATGTCTCTTCACTCTCCAAGATTAAAAATCAGCCAATCAGAAGCATCTGCTTCTTAGTTGAAACTATGAAGGCAGTGATCATTGCTTGGGAGACTGAGGCTAGATTGGAGTCAATCTAGAAGAAGACCCACATTCATGATGTGGAACTGGGGTCCAAAGAGGAAGATTCTCTTCCCCACAGTGTATCCACTATTGATTAGCTGCTGAGATCATCCGGAAAGAACGCTCTGAGGAAACAGAAGAATTACAGATTCTCAGTCCCTCAAGGCAAATCAACTGAAGCCCATGATTCACTTACAGGATGATCAAAACAGACAATAACTATCACCATTGGATCTTCTACAGTGTTGTCTCACTTTAGGGATCCTCTCATAGCATGTTCAACATAGGGTAAAAAGAGCTTCAATTCCTAATTTTAAAAATATAACAAATGGAAAAAGTAATATCTAGCAAAATTGGGACCGAAATGAAGGAAGTGAGAGTCTAAACCAGCAAGATAAGATCATCCCTCAATGAGCATTTAGGACCACCAGGGGAAGAGTAAGAGGATAAGCATTAAGGAGAAATTCAAGGTACCTCAAGACTCCGAATTCCTTTTGCACTATTATATAGAATCATTTATCAAAGAAAAGACTTCACCTCAGTCTTCTCCAGAGGAAGCTCAGCAAGACCTCAATAACAGGCTATACTTTGCCAGTGCTTTCAATTGATCCTCACACAGCATCATCCGTAGTTCCAACATCTTCCTGTTCTTCTTTTACTGGATGTCCTCCAACTTCTCTAATTCCTTGTTCAAATGTGATGCCTAAACCAAAAATAACACTTTGTGTATGGCATTGAGGACTTTTCCTAAGGCCTTAGGACTATTAGGAGATATAGCTAAGTTTCCCCTTTCCTTCCATTGTTCCTAAAAGCTTCTCAGAGGTTGGGAAAAAATCTGAATGTTTGGGCACGGGTTAAAGGAGGGCAGCCAGGAACTGAAACGAGAAATAAGTTTTATGAGTGTTTTCCCCCAGCCTCAAAGAGACCTGTTGAGAGGTAATGGTCACATGAAAGAAAGAAAACAATCTGCCTTTTTTCAAGGTGAAGAAAAGATGAAGCCTATCTATTGCCCTCCCTAACTGAGGCTGACACCTTCTATTGGGAGGATCAGGTCAGCTTCCCAAGCTAGCATTTTGTATACCACCGAAGTGGATACAGTGGAGCTTTTTAACTAAAGAGCTGAAAATGTGTTGACTAGCCCAAAGCATGTAGCTGGGAGGTCTCTCTCTAAAAAGAGCAATAACACTTCCCAAAGGCAGCAGCTGAAGAGCCATAAGAACAAGGCAGAGCTTCAGGAGATGGCCATTAAAAAGCTCAGGGAGCTGTGGCAGAATATCGTCATTTTAAACAACATATCCTCGGAATCTCTCTACATGAGTTATTGTCAAGACTAAAGTAACTTCTGATATTTCCTCAGAGAGGAAAAAAATGTTAAATACTTGTAATCTACACTATCAACTGTAAGATGGTGTAAAAAAGAAAAAGTGGTGATCTACATGGATTTCTGATAAATAAAGGAGAATTAACTTGTTGCGATTTGTCGTTGTTTAACCAGCATTGATGCTTGACAGGTTCCATCTCTTTGGATAGACATTCTTACAGCAGAACTTTACTATAGATATGGCGAAGGCATATCCCATACCTTGATGAAAAGATGAACAGGTTTCTTCAAAAATCTTTTCTCAATAAGCAAGATTGTTTTCTTTATAATTTGGTCTTTTGAATGAATTTGTTCATCCTAAGGCTGTACCGTATCAAAACACTTGGTGCTAACACTCAACAGGCATATGTATTTTTGTCAATTAATAAAGTGGCATCCTGGTTAAAAAAAAAACAAAACCAATTATATACACAGTTTGTTCAGCCATTCCCCAATTGTTGGGCATCCTCTCAGTTTCCAGTTCTTTGCCACCACAAAAAGAACTGCCATAAACATTTTTGTATAAATAGATCCTCTTCTTTTTTTTTTTTACTCTATTTGAGATACAGACCTAGTAGTGATATTGCTAGGTCAAAGAGTATGCACAGTTTTATAGCCCTTTAGGCATAGTTGGAGGAGTTTTCCATCTGGAAAGTCATAGTGAGTGCAATCATTGATTACTAGGAAGGAACTAGTGGGCCGAGAAAGACTGAGGAAGAAAGAAGGAGAGGGAGTGATTGAGAGGACAAATTTCCAGAAGAGGGATCAAGAACACAAATTGAGGGATAAGTCTTTTGAGAACGGCTACCTCTTCATGGGAGACCAGAACACTGGAGCAGAGAATGGTGAAATCATATTGATTAATTCCCTATCACAGTCTTGAGGTCTAGAGTGGGGAAGAAAATGGAGATCATAATGGATGTTTGTTTTGTTTAGTTTTTGTAATGTCAACTAGGAGCTGAGATCCTATGTTAAGGGGAGGGTGCGAAGATTCTAAAAGAGAAGAAAAAGTATGGATTAGTCACTGCAGAATTTGATAGTCAATCAGGAAGGAATAAAAGCAACTGTCTTGCAACAGTGAAGACTCAGACGCATCTAGATCCTACATATTTGTAGTGGCCCCCATCACTGTGGTTGTGAGACTTTCTGCAGCAGCACAGATATATGTGAGTAGAAGCAGATAAGGAGGATGGTGGTACAGGTAACCAAGGGCTGGTGTTTCACAAAGGATGATTGATGATAGCCAAGGAGGCAGCAAAAGCGCAGGTAGGTGCTTACATATCACTTAAACTGGTCAACAATAGATTCAAGACTGAAGGAAAGAAATGGCAGAGCGAGAGTGGTGGACTGGGAGAAGAGGGAGCAATGATAGGACAGAGGTCATGGCAAGGACGAAACATTTAGGACAAGTAAGGTAGAGGGCTGAGTTGGGAGGATAGGAGCATTGTTATCAGAGAGGAATTTCAAAGTTCAGAATCTCCAGAATTATGGTCCAAGCCAGGACACAGCCACCTTGATAGATGCCTGTCTGAAGTGGGCGCAAGTCGTGGGAATTGCAGAGGGTGATGAATTGGGAGGCCGAGGTGTTTGAGGAAGCTTCCATGGTAAGAATGTAATGTGAGTTAGAGAGAAAAGAAAGAGTTTGAGGCACTAAGTCTGAAGCTTCAAAAATGGGAAGGAGAAGGAGTGTGGTTTCTCTTCCTGGAAGTCAACAAGGTCAGTGATATTGCAGAAAGAAATCTTGTCCTGGCAGGGGCAAGGCTAGATGGCCTTCCAATTGTAAGAGTCTGGGATTGTAAGAGTGGGGAGAGGACACAAAACCAGGGAGATGCTGGGGAAGATAGAGCCGAGTGGCCAGACAGACAAAGACAAGAAAATGGTGTCTGTGGGCAGAAGACTAGCAAACAGACGTAATTTAGGAAGACAACATTGGAGAGAATTACAAAGGGGAAGGGAGGTGGGGAGGGGATGGGGCGAGACAGAAATATAGGAAGGGGAGAAGAGATGAATAGGGAGAAGACAGGCTTTCCTAGAGAGGGAGAAAAACAACAGGTGTGGGGGCAGGAAGAGGACAGACAGGAAGAAACAAGTCACAATGGAGAGAGAACAGGCAGGTAGAACGAATGAGACCTTATTAAGTGTTTATGTGTCAAGCACTATAGTGAACCTTGTGTCTGACTCTTCACTTCCCCAATTGGGGTTTTCTTGGCAAAGATACTGGAGTGGTTTATCTTTTCCTTCTCCAGCTCATTTTCCAGATGAGGAACTGAGCAAACAGGGTTAAGTGACTTGCCCAGGGTCACACAGTTAATACATGTCTGAGGCTGGATTTGAACTCAGGAAGATGAGCCTTCCTGACTTGAGGACTGTGCCACCTAGCTGCCCATAACGAGCCTGAGGCGATGCAAATACAGACAAGCCAAAGAAGACAAGAAAGGAGAATGACAGAGAAAGGAGGCAGAGGACTGACCAGGAGAGAGGGAAAGAAGAGGAGGAAAAGGGAGAAGACAGGCTCAGCAAGGAGAGGAGAGAGGCAAGGGGAGAAAGCACAGACAGAAAGGGAGTTGATGCCACTGATACTTGCACCGTGGGGACAGAGAGGGAGAAGAAAACAAAAAGGAATGAGAGGCCAGACAAGCACGAAGAGATGATAGCCAGCAGAGGACAGCTCGGAAGAGGGAGAGGGAGACGCATGGGAGGGAGATCACGGAATGAGAGCTGGCAAGGGACCTCAGCTGCTCATACCTGAGAGGAATCCCCACTATCACATACCAACAAGCCTCCGACCAGCCTCTGCTAAAGCCCCAGGGACCAAGAATTACTGCCTCGGGAGGCAGCTCACTTCTACTTTGGACAGCTCAGCTTGTTAGGAGGGATTTTTCCTGACCTCAAGCCTCTTCGCACCTTCCATCTCTAGCTCCTGTTTCTTTCCCCTGGGGTCGAAGAGAGCGGACGCGCGGAGGAGGTGGGCAGAAGGCAAAGAGGACAGCCGGACGGAAACGGGAGGGAAGGACAGGAAGCCAGGAAGATCGGCAGCCTACGGAGAGGCTGAGGGAGGGCGAACACAGCACTAGAGAGAGCGCTGGATGACCGAGATAGAAAGGAGAGACTCGCGGAGAGAGGATGGACAGGCAGGGGGAAGAACGGGAGCCCGCAAGACGGTCAAGGGGAACAGGCAGCGGGGAGAGAAGGAACAGCTCAGACGGATATGGGGAAGGATGGAAAGGCGGAGTAGTCATCGGAGAAAAAGGAGACAGGCAGCAGGAAGAGGGGGAAACTCCCCAAGGAAATCGGGAACAGGAAAGATAGAAAGGGGAACGGGTAGCTGGGAAAGGGGGAACAGGCAGCGGGGAGAAGGGGAAGAGACAGGACCGAGAGGCTGGAGAAACAGAGGAAAGCGGGCGGCCAGCCCCAACCCGGGTGAGCTGCAGATATGCGGTGCAGGGGGAGGCTGGAGCGATCCGCGGGCAGGAAGGCGGCATCTCCGGCCGGGGCGGGCCTGACCGGCGAGTGGGCGGGACTTCTTCCCTCCTGGTCCCTCCCTCCCCCCGTCAGTCCCTCAGTCCCCGGTCCCCGGCGGGCGGGCGGGGCCCGGCGGAGGCGCAGACATGGCCGCGCTCGCGGAGCCGCTGGGGCTGGAACGGGGTAAGGCCGGGCTGGGCCGAGCGAGGGCGGGTCAGGGGTACGTCCGAACGTTGGGGTGAGCCCGGCAGCTGGAGGTCTTCGGGAGCCCCAAGTCCGCTCTGCTCTTCTCTCTTTGTGTCTCCGTGTACCTGTCTTTCCCGGTCTCTCATTATCTCTCGGGGGCTCTCTCCCTGTCTCCCTGGCTCTGTCCTTCTCGCTTTCTCTATCTTTCTCTATTTCTGTCACCGCCTTTCTCTTCGTCTCCTCTATGTCTCTTCCTTTCCGCTCCCTCTGCCGCTTCCCCCCTCCCCCCAATCTCTCCATGTCTTTGCTTCTCCCGGTCTCTGTGTGTCTGTATCTTTGTGTATCTCTCTTTCCCCATCTCTGTTATCTCTTTCCCTGTCTCTTAGTATCCCTGTGTTCCTCCCTCCCGCCCCGTTTCGCCCTCTGTCTTTCCTGTTACCTTTATCTCTTTACCTGCGCGTCTCTCTGGGTCCACTTGTGTATCGGTCCAGGTCCCTCTCTCACCCGTTCCTGCCTCCTCTATCCCTATGCTTGTCTCCTACATCCCTGTCCTTGTCTCCCCATCCCTGTCTCTGCCGCCCCCATCCCTGTCTCTGCCGCCCCCATCCCTGTCTCTGCCTCTCCCGTCCCTGTTCCTGTCCCTGCCTCCACCCTGCCTCCCTCATCCCTGTCCCTACCTCCCCAGCCTCTATATCTGTCTCCTCGACTCTCTGTCTCTTTCCCTCTGTCCCCCCAACAGACGTGTCCCGGGCAGTGGAGCTCCTGGAGCGGCTCCAGCGCAGCGGGGAGCTGCCACCCCAGAAGCTTCAGGCCCTCCAGCGAGTCCTGCAGAGTCGTTTCTGCTCAGCCATCCGAGAGGTGAGCAAGAATCTGAATGCAGCCACCCCCTCGCGGGCCGGACTACAACTCCCAGCAAGCCCAGCGCCACCCAAGCCCCCTCCCCAGCTTCTTCAGCCTACAGGCTGCTGGAATCTGTAGTTTCTCTAGCTACCTCCTACGTGGGTGGGGCGTCCCTCGTGGTGCCAGGGTCGGGGGACACCTGGGTCGCGGAGGGTGCAGGGAAGGGAGATACTTGAGTTCATGACTTAGATACTTACTAGCTCTGTGTCCCCAGACAAGTCACTTAGCCCTTGTCTACCTCAGTTTCCTAAACTGTAAAATGGGGGTAATAATAGCTCCTACATTCCAGAGTTGTTGCGATGATTAAATGAGATCCTATTTGTTAAGCGCTTCACATAAAGCTTGTTTAATAAATGCTTATTCCCTTCCCCTTTCAGGAAGGGTGAACGGACGGGGGACACCTCTGTTCCCCCATCCGCTGTCCTTCAGTCTCCACCTCCCCCTGGTCTGAGTGGAAGGGCCTATGTCTATATAGAGGCCAGGCTGCTTGACCACTTGTCAGCAGCTTGCTTACCCTGAGACTCCACGACAATTGGAGTTTTTGAGTGTCCTTCGGGGCCTAGAGTGAGCTGAGGGTTGGGACACTGAACTTCTGTGTCCCTGACAGTTCCCACTTCCTCAGGTGTATGAACAGCTGTATGACACTCTGGATATCACAGGCAGTGCAGAGATCCGGGCTCATGCCACAGCCAAGGTGAATCCACTCCCTCCAGGGCCCCAAGGCTTTGCTTTCCCTATATCCCACTACTCAGATAACCCAGGAATCTTCTCCCCTCCCGAAAGATCTCCCCTTCCCTTGGGTCCCTATCCCCTCAGGTACCTAGCAGTCCCTTCCCTAAACCCTCACCACCCCCCGGCCCCTGAATGTCCTCTTCTTCAATCCCCCAGCTCCTCAGGGATCCAGGCTTCCCTTCCCATGCCATTGTCCCCTCAGGGATCCATTTCTCCCTTCCCACAGATCCCTATCTTCTCAGAGGCCAATGAGCTGCCTCCTTAGCTCTCTACTTTTTAAAGAACTGTGCATCTCCTTTTTGAGCTCCTACACCTTCAAGGATCAGGGAGTCCCCTCCTATGACCACCAGCCCCTATTCCCTCAGGGACCTTGGCCTCTGGCTCCTGTCCCTTCTAGGCCACAGTAGCAGCCTTTGCTGCCAGCGAAGGCCATGCCCACCCAAGAGTGGTGGAACTGCCCAGGACAGATGAAGGCCTGGGCTTCAACATCATGGGAGGGAAAGAGCAGAACTCTCCCATCTACATCTCTCGAGTCATTCCTGGTGGTGTGGCTGATCGACATGGTGGCCTCAAGAGAGGGGACCAGCTACTCTCTGTCAATGGAGTGGTGAGCCTCAATCCCCCAAGGGCCTGGGTCAGGATCGGGGTCGGGGTGGGGTTCGCAGGGCCAGGAGGAAGAGACTGGGGATGGATTGGGAAGACTAGAACAAGACATGGAAGAGGAAGACAAGCACCACTGAATTTAGGAGGGATTTAGCAATCATTAAATTCTCCCTTTTCCTTTCACAAATGGGGATACTGAAGCCCAGACAGAGTAGTGACTCACCCAAGGTTACTTAGGGAGTCAGTAGCTGAACCAGTTCCCACCCAAGTTTCCTGATTCCAATTCTTGTGGGAAGGGTTTGAAGGAGGGAGAGGTCTGTGCTGTCAAGGAAGGCTCTTTGGAGAAGGGCTGACCTTAGGCATGACATTAGCATCTAGGTCCAGAAGGGAGCTTAAGCATCATGTAATCCAGCCCTCTAATTGGTGGCAGTGGACATTCTTGAGAGGGACCTAGACACAGAGCTATCAGTCTTAAAGACCATCAGATTAAACTATGTTCCACTTTACCTCATTATACAGATGTGGACACTGTCGCCCAGAGAAGGTCACACAGCAAAGTGAAGGCAGAGATTGGGCTTGCAGGTTGGGAAAAGTGTTAGGGGGCTTTAGTACCTGGGCCAGGCTGGGCCAAGGGGGTCTGATTGGACGAGATCTCCCCTCTGGCAGAGTGTGGAAGGGGAGCAGCATGAGAAGGCAGTGGAACTGCTCAAGGCTGCTCAAGGCACTGTGAAGCTTGTTGTCCGGTACACACCTCGAGTGCTGGAGGAGATGGAAGCCCGCTTCGAGAAGATGCGCTCAGCTCGGCGGCGTCAGCAGCACCAGAGCTACTCGTGAGAGCTTAGTCCTTACTGTTCCCATTAACCCTCACCAAGCCCCTAAGTCTTTCCCAAGCCCCTCAGCCCTCACCCAGCTCCTCAGCCCTCACCCAGCCCCTCAGCCTTTCCCATTCTCCTCAGCCCTCACCCAGCCCCTCAGCCCTCACCAAGCCCCTCAGCCTTTCTCAAGCCCCTTAGCCCTCACCCACCCCCTCAGCCCTCACCAAGCCCCTTAGTTCTCACCCAAACCTCTTAACCCTTACCATGTTGCCTTTTACCCGTTATCATAACTTTTTACCCTTACCAAGCTCTTTTACCCTTTACCAAATCTTCCTTAGTCCTCTCCAAGCCAACCTTAGCCTTTGCCATGCCTCTTGAGCCCTGAACAAGTCTTACCAAATCACATTTAACTCTTACCAAGTCCCTCTTAATCCTTGCTATCCCCCTTAGCCCTTTCCCAGCTCCCCCCAACCCTTACCATTCCTCTTAACCTTTACCATGCTCACTAACTCTTACTATACCCATTAACCCTTACCACTCTTCCCTTATCCCTTACCAATAACCTTTAGCCCTTATCAAGCTTAAGAAATCCTTTAGACCCTTCTAAGCCCCTTAGGCTTTGGCCTTTACTAAGCCCCTGCTAGCCCTTGCCAAGTACCTCAAGCCTTTATCAAGTCCCTTAGAGTTTGCCAAACCCTTCAGAACCTACAAGGCCCCGACAATAGCGGTGACTCATCTCTACCACTTTACATTCGTGATTTCATTTGATTCTAACAATAGCCCAGAGAGGTAGGTATTTTGGTCATTCAGTCAGACAACTAGCATTTCTGAAGGACTTGCTACATTCCAGGTATTGTTTGAAGAGTTGCAAAAAGAAAAGCCAGGCACCTGCTCTAGAGAAGATCTTGATCTAACAGACTGTACAAATACTGCAGGTCTTTGTATCCCCATATTACAAAGGGAAAACTGAGGCTCAGAGCAATTAACAGCTACTTCCACAGCTAATAGATATCGGAGGATGGAATTGAATCCAGGTCTTCATGACTAGAGCCCTTTGCCTTTTGTGTGGGCGTCATTGATATTTTTGGCTCAGTCTGCTAAGGCTCATTGACCCCTTCTCAGAATCATGTTTTTGGCCTATATTCACAATGGAAGGAAGGACTAAATTAAAGGGAGAGGTTTGTGAAAAGATAGATGGAATTGATTTTTCCACATCTAAGTTCCAGGATCCCCAACATCTACCCACAGACCCATTGCAGGGTGTATATTTGTTGACTCCAGGTTAAAACCCCTGGATCAGGCCATGCCATCTCTACTAACCCTTCTGAGAGCTTGCAGAGGCTATAAGAGTTCCATAAGCCCTCCAGAGGTCAGGGAATTTGGAACTAGGAAGAGCTGGGCTTGAATCCTATTAGAGACACTAACTAGTTAAGTGAAGATGGGCAAAGCACTTCATGTCTCCAAGTCTAGGTTACCTCCTCGGCAAAATCCAGATCAATGAGGCTTGTAGTGACTGCCTCAGGGGGAGATGAATGAACTGGTCATATAAAACACTGGGCAAACTTAAACATGCTACAGAAATATGGGCTATGATTCCTGCGTTGATAGCGCTTGGACCTACAAAGCCATTTGAGGTTCACAAAGCTCCTTCTGCTCACTGTCTCTCTCCCTCTCTCTCTCTTCCCCACAGGTCCCTGGAGTCCCGAGGCTGAGCTCTCCTGGCTTGGCTCCTGCTCTTCAACCCTTGACTATGAGCCGTCTCTCCCCCTTACCTCACTCTGGTCCCTCTGTACAGTATTTATTTGCCCAGTCCTTCCTTAGACCCTATTTAAAGCTCTCCTTTCCCCTGCTCTGTGTCTGCCTGTCTGTCCTTCCTGCCACAGGGTCAGAGAGGAATGGCCCCCAGGTCTTCATCAGGAGGCCATAGTCAGAGGGAGGAAGGTCTAAGTTGGAGGACAGGAAATGTTCAAGGGAGAGGAGTCAGAGTCGCATGGGAGAGGCCATACTCAGTGGGAGGAGGCTCTGAGTGCGTGGGGGGAGTCCCGAGGACTGTGGGAAGAGGTGCTGAGGGGAGGTGCTGAAGGTAGGGAGAACCTTGGAGCAAGGGAAGAGGCTTGGGGGCTGGGTGTTGTGTGGGAGGGGGAGACCATAGGCAGAGGGAGGAAGCCTCTGGTCTGGGGGGGGGAACCCCCAGGACTATGGGAGGAGAATCCCCCCCCGCCCGCCTTGGGTCTCCCCCAGCATCCAATCAACTCCCGCGCCTTCGGCTCCCCGCCCAGACAGAAGATGCTCGGTATTGGGGGGAGGGGAAGATGCAGTGCATTATGGGAGAATCCCCGCACCTTCCCCTCCTTCCTCGCCCCCGCCCCCGCAGCGCGGTCCCGAGTTCTGCGAAGGACGGGCTGGGGGAGCCTCGGGCTCGCGCTCCTCGGAGGTGACATCATCGCTTCGGCTCCGAGTGGGGCCACGCCCCCCAAATATGTTCATTGGTCGGCACCACCCCCGCCCCCCGCCCACCCCGCCGAGGGGAGGGTCCCTCGGGCGCGCCGGGCCCAGTACTGCCCCCCCATTGGCTCAAGCTCGCCGTCCGTCAGGCGGCTGTTAAAGGGGCCGCGGCCCCGGGAGTGCAGGGAGGGGGCTGCTGGATTTTGGGGGGAGCGGGGGGGGGCGGGGGAGGGGGCGGCTGCGGCCTCACGGGGGAGCCCGAGCCGGGGCCCAGAGACAGAGACAGCAACCCAGAGACAGAGAGACGCCGAGACACAGAGACAGCGCAGGCCAGGCAGCGAGAGCAGAAGGGAGGGAGGGAACGAGGGAGGGGAGACAGCGAGACCTCGAGCCGGGGAAGGAGGGAAGGCAGGAAGGCAGGAAGGCGGGGGCCCCTCCCGGCCTCCTCGGGGCTCCCGCCACCCCCGCCCCCGCCGCAGCCCCAGCGCCGCCGCCCGATCAGGTAAGAGACGGAGCCCCGGGGACCCCGGCGTCCTGGCTCCACGACGTCCCGCAGGGACCCCGGCGTCTCGGCCCCCCCGACGTACCGCAGGGACCCAGGAGTCCCGACATCCCGCAGGAACCCGGGCGGGCGTCCCTTCTTGCTCTGACATCCTTCAGGGATCCAGGCATCCCGGCCTCCCCAACATCCCGCAGGGACCCAGGCAGGCTTCTCTACTTGCCCCAGTGTTCCTCAGGGACCAGGGCGTCCAGGCTTCCCTGGGACCTCGCAGGGACCCAGACATCTCGGATTCCCCAGAATCGTCAGGGACCCAGACATCCGCCCCCCCCCATCCCTTCGGCGAGCCTGTGGTCCCTTCCCCCAGCCTCCGCTGTATTGCTCCCTCACTTCCATCTTTCCCTTCTCCTGGACCCATGAGTCCTGGCTTCCCCCCGGGCCGCACCCGCCTCATTCATCTCCGCCCATCTTTGGCCAGCGGCCCCATTCTAGAACCCCGGCTCAGGCCCTTAGGCGGGATCATCTGGCTGGTCACAGGCTCTGGCCTCAGGCCCAGTCTTGGAGCTGTCCATGGTGAAACCGGCTTGCCTAGACCTTCCGGTCCCCCTTTTCCTTCAAGCTCCCGGTCTCTAGGCTTGCCCTGGGCCATCCAGTACCTAGAGGTCTAGACCGCAGCCACCTACCCCCCTCCCCTCAGGGAGGCAGGCATCAAAGCCTCCATCTCTTGTCTCCTTAGGGACATAGGCGTCCCTTCCCCCAGTCCCTTTGGCCTCTCAGGGAACTAGGTATTCTCTCTGGTCTGACATGTTACAGAGGCCCAGCCCCAGGTGTCCAGGGTCTGAGTGATCATCACTCTGGGCTATGGCCTCACTCAAGCCATCATCTCTCCTTCACTTAAGGCCTTAAAGGGATATTTGTGTGTGTTGGGGGGGGGGTTAGAGCCTCAGGGCTGAGCCATATATGTCCATGTTCTGAATGTGTTCCACCCACTTTCTGTGTTCTAGACTCATCCTAGCCATATGCTCTATTTTATAGATGATCCAGCTGTGTGCCACATTCTGTATTTGTCTTAGTTGTATGTCATGTTTTAGCCAGGTCATAAGCCCTGTGTCATGTTCCAGGCATCCTAGCGATGTCCTGTGTTCTAGCCATGCCCTAGGTACTTGCATTCTATGTGCTGGGTCCCATGCTAGATCCCAAGCTTTCCTGAGTTTCCAGGTCGACTCTAAAGGGCTCAAGAACCCTTTCTCAGGTTGGGCCTCCTGAATATCACATGTCTCTGGTCTTGGGACTGTCCACTTATCTCAGGCCTGTGCTCTGCTTACTGGAGGCACTGGGGCCAGTGCCCTCAAAGGAAGTGTGTACAGGCTGTATTCTTTGGTGGTGTTTGGATGGAGAAGTATGAAGAGGAAGGGAATGGTAGAATTTAGCTGTCTGGGACCCAGCTGCCAACCCCTTGGGGGCACAGGCATTCCTTCCTCTCACCCCTCTCTGGAACCCCAGTGCCCAGAACTCCAGCATCCTCAGGGAGCCAAGTGCCTGGGGATCCAAACTGCAGGTGGGGCAGAACTGGCCCCATGGGACTCCCCAAACCAGTTGAACTGCTCAAGAAAAGAACAGGGTGAAAGTCTTGTCCTCCTCCACCCTCCTGCCCTCCAACCAGACCCGTCTGACCTGATGCCACCACAGGGTGGATAGACAGGCTCCCCTCATTCCCAAGGCCACACCCACTCCTCCCTAGAAGTTCCGCCCCTTGGTTCATTCCTACTGGGTCCCTGAGGGAGCTGGATACCTGAGAAAGTGAACCTGAAAGGATCAGATCAGGATTAAGAAGATCTGGGTTCAAATTCTACCCCTGGGATTTGAACTCAGGGACACTTTCTACCTGTGTGCCCTTGGGACAGTCTCTTCAACTCTCTAGGCCTCACTTTTCTCGTTTGTAAAATGAGATCAGACCTCTCTAAGGGGCCCAAATATCACCTGATGATCCTGTGATTTGACTATATTAAATTACAATTGATCATAATTAATCCAATGTCTTGGCCTCTGTCCTATAGTGCCCCTCACCCCCCCCTTCCTGTACCTCACACCAAGCCTCCCCCTCTGCATTTATTGCAGCTTCTCCCTCCTTCCTCCTTAGTGCCCCCAGTTGGTGGGCCTGGCACTGCCACCATGATGTGCGAGGTGATGCCAACCATCAGTGAGGATGCCCGTCGAGGCTCAGCCTTGGGCCCAGAGGAGGCGGGAGGGGCAGCAGGTGGTGAACTGGAGCGTCTTATGGTCACCATGCTCACAGAGCGTGAGCGCCTCTTGGAGACCCTTCGTGAGGCCCAGGATGGACTGGCCACAGCCCAGTTGCGCCTTCGTGAGCTGGGCCACGAGAAGGATTCATTGCAACGGCAGCTCAGCATAGCATTGCCCCAGGTATGGAGACCCTGGTGGGGGTGAAGACAGGGCTCCTTGTGGTCTTGGCTAGCTGTGGACAGGTTGAGGGGAGACAGCACTCTCAAGCCAGGAAAAAATAAGTATTCCATTAAATGCTAACTAGTTAAGCGTTAAAGAATGGCACCAGATTGTATTTAGCCATGGGGTGAGTGAGAAGCCTTGGAGGACAGTGGGAAACACTGGCTTTGAGGTCGAAGGTCGCCAGTCTGACTCCCGGATCTACCCTCTCCCTGGGAAGTCTTGGCCAAATGACTTTCTCTCTCTGGGCAGGCATTTTCTCATCTTTAAACTGAAGTGGTTTAACTAGCTTACTTCTAAGTCTCCTCCCTCTGCTCTCAATCCTATGATCTGTTCTAATCAGGATAAGACCAGAATTATTTTAAATGACATTTGAAAAGTAGCTTGACTCGGTGAGTAGAGAGTTGGTCTTAGTCAGGAGGACCTGAGTTCAAGGCTTGCCTCTGACATTCACTTGGCTCTTTGACCCTGATTTAGGCAGCTCACCAAGACCACAAGATTCAGAGAAGGGGCTGACCTGCATTACTAGAGGGCTTTTTCTTGTCAGGAGTTCTCTATATGAAGGAAATCATAGGTCCAGGCCTGATTCCCATGACTAGCAACAGTTAAGGATGAACAAGAAATGTACCAAACTTTATCTAGGATTAAGGGTCCAGGCTCAGCCAGGAAAGGCTGGGGGATGGGTGTTAGTGTGAGGCCTCTAGTTCGGGAAGGAGCAAATATTCCAGTCCAAGGATGAGACCAGAACTAAAATGGAGCTATAAATGATCTGAAGATGTCCCATCCTGTACCCAGTTGGGCACGTGGGCTGTCTTCTTGGATGGGGTCCAGGGGAGGAGGTGAGCTTAGGCTGGGAGCTAAAGGGGTCAGGAGGGTGGTGGTGGGGGGGTCTGATGGGGCCTCGCCAGACTACAGGGACTTGAATGTGGTGGCTTTGGCTCCGGGCAGGAGTTCGCTGCCCTCACCAAGGAGCTGAACCTGTGCCGAGAACAGCTGCTGGAGAGGGAGGAGGAGATTGCTGAGCTGAAGGCCGAGCGGAACAACACCCGGGTAGGGCTATAGAGGCAGGCATGGGGCATCCCTGGCTGGGAATGCCGAACGGGGCTGAGGAGGGCTGTAGAGCATCCCAGCGCAACTTCAGAGGGGGATATCCCTGCCCTGATGTCTGACCCCACCGCCTCCTCAGCTGCTGCTGGAGCACCTAGAATGCTTGGTGTCCCGACACGAGCGGTCCTTACGCATGACGGTCGTGAAGCGCCAAGCCCAGTCCCCAGCTGGGGTCTCCTCTGAGGTCGAGGTCCTTAAGGCTCTCAAGTCTCTGTTTGAGCATCACAAGGCACTGGATGAGAAGGTGGGCGGGACCTAGGCAGAGCTGGGGAGGTGCTAAGGGAGGTCTGCCCTGGGGGTGGGATGGGGCGGGCTTAACAGGTGTTTAGGGATAAGGAAGCTCCGCCCAGAGGACGGGGACGGGGCGGGGCCTAATGGAAGGTGTGGCTAAGGACCAATGGGGCCCTGTTTCAGGGCTTGAGAGCTCTGACCAAGGGCTCGGTTCAGAAGATCGGGACAGGGGTCTGGGAAGGGGTGAAGAGCAAAAGGGGGTGGGTGGGGTCTGACTTCTGTCTGCTCTCCCCAAGCAGGTGCGGGAGCGGCTCCGACTAGCCCTGGAGCGGGTGGCTGTGCTGGAAGAAGAGTTGGAGCTGAGTGGCCAGGAGGTGGGACGGGCAGGGTTTCAGGGATAAATGGGAACGGAGCCTGGCTGGGATGATGCAGGGTTGGGGGACGGGGAGGACGCAGAAAAGAGGAGGGGACTATCGTCTGACCGGGAGTCCCTGAAGCCTGCCTCTCTCCTCCAGTCCCTAAATCTGAGGGAGCAGCTGTCCAGGGGCCGGCGTTCTGGACTGGATGAAGCAGGGAAGGAATCAGATGGGCAGGTGAGGCCTCCTTGGCATCCAGGTCATGTAAGAGGTGCCCTCCCCATCAATCCTACTGGCCTTATCACCCCATATAAGTCTTTACGTTTAATGACCCCACGCCCCCTTTATGACACCGTGCAGTGGCCTTTCCAATCTCTACTGAACTGCGTCACCAGGTTCTGTCCCCTATCTTTGTCTCTGTCTCATCTCCTTCGGTATCTCTGCCCCTCTGCCTCCCCATATTTCTGTCGCCCGCATCTCTCTCTTTGGCTTCTCTAGTGACTCTCTTGGAGTTTCTGTCTTGCTGATCTCTCTCTGTCTCTCTCTTTGTCTCTCTGTCTCTCTGTGTGTCTCTCTGTCTCTGTCTCTCTGTGTCTGTGTCTCTGTCTGTCTCTCTCTCTCCTTCCCTGTGACCCTCTCTTGTCTCTCTCGTTCTCTCCTGGGTCTTGGTCCTCTTTGGGCACAGTCTCTGGTGAACGGGCTTGTGGGAGAGCCCAACCGCCGGGTGGTAGAGTTAGAAGAGGCCCTGGAGCGACAACGAGCAGAGACTGGGCAGCTTCGGGAACGCTTGGCTGCCCTCTGCCGCCAGATGGGACAGTTGGAGGAAGAGCTGGGGGCAGCCCATCGGGAGCTGGGCAAAGCCGAGGAGGCTGGCCTCAAGCTTCAGCGAGACCTCAAGGAGGTGAGTGAGACTCGGAGAGTCCTGGCTGCTCTGCCTGCTTCCTTGCCTCCTTCCCTCCTCCCCAAGCCAGCAGCCAGCCCTGAGCTCAGCCTAAGCATGCAGTTTAAATACTCCCTGATCCAGGAAGAAACTACATGTGGGCGGGAGCTTTTAAACTCTTGGTTTTAATCACTCTTGACTCCCTCTAGAGGCAGAAATGAGGTTACATTTTCCATGAGAGTCTAGGAAAGAATTAGGTATTCAGGGGCACTATTTCCTGTGATTCCTCAGACTGGTACTATAAGATTCATGGTCTAGGCAGTTAGGTGACTCTTGGTCAGGAATACTTGAGTTCAAATCCAGCCTCAGACACTCACTAGATGCGTGACCAAGTTACTTAACCCTGTTTGCCTCAGTTTCTTCAACTGCAAAATAGCACCTACCTCCCAGGGTTTTCATGAGGATGAAAGGAGATAATATTTGTAAATTGCTTAGCCTGGAGCACGTTAAAAATGGACTTTTCCTTCCTTCTTTTTGCTTCCTGGCCTGGGATTATATTCCCCATTGGAAAAGCCCCTGATTTTGGGTCTTGTTGGCTCCAGGAGCTGCTGGGAGTTGTGGTCCTCAGCAT